CTCTGTTGTGTTCCCTGTCAGGGTGGTCATTGATAGTAGCCGGGCACCATGCACTTCTTCTGGTCTCAGGCTGATGAAGTCTCTGGTTTATGTGGCCCTTTCTGTCTCTTGGGCTAATATTTTCCTTGTGTCTTTTGTGTTCTTCATTCTCGTTTGCCTCCGGGTAGGTTGGGACCAATTGATGCGTCTTAAATGGCCGCTTGCAAGCTTTTAAGACCCCAGATGCCACTCACCAAAGTGGGATGCAGAATGTTTTCTTAATAAACTTTGTTATGCCGGTTGACCTAGATGTCATCTGTGAAAGCATGGTCCCCAGACCCCTACCCCTGCTACTCTGTCCCTCAAAGCATTTGGTTGTATTCAGGAAACTTCTTAGCTTTTGGTTTAGTCCAGACAAACACACTTCTTAAAGCAATTCTGTAAGTTCATTCATCCATGCTTCTGTGATTAGGTTAAAGCAACTCTATTTATCTTTATTGCTAATCTGATTTATGTCTGTTTGTTGTAATTGGTTCATTTATAATAGCAAAACTAAGGTTACATTTTCCATCTCTGTATTTTCTCAGGCTGCATGGAATTCCTTGTGACTCCCACAGGTTGTTGATACTCTGGCTTTCAGCCGAGAATGATTGATTTGACCTCCCTGGGAATCAGGGCTCTCAAGATCACTGTTGTTTATATGTGAAGCTTCTCATCTTTTTCCACTTCCTCTTCTATCCCTGAGAGGCCGTCATAGGTTAAACCAAAAAAACCAAACCTATTGCCGTCAAGTCGATTCTGACTCATAGTGACCCTATATGACAGGGTAGAACTGCCCTATATAGTTTCCAAAGAGCACCTGGTGGATTCAAAATGGCGACCTTTTGGTTAGCAGCCTTAGCTCTTAACCACTGCACCACTTGTAGTAGTTTCTCCTAAACTGCCAACCCATGAGGTCATAGCTCATGCTAGCCCAAATGCATCAGGATCACCTGGGAAAGTGTATTAAAAATGTAAGTTCCTGGGCTCCAACCTAGTGGATTCTGGGGTGGAACCTGTGAAGCTATATTTCAGCATATTTCCCAGGGGATTCTGGGGCACAGCCAGGTTTGGGAACCACTATTGTATAGAACCCCCCCACTCACTTTTTTTCTTTTTTAATAATTTTTTGTTTGTTTTTGTTGTTGAGAATATAAACAGCAAAACATGCACCAATTCAGCAGTTTCTACACATACAGTTCAATGACACCGATTACATTCTTCAAGTTGTGTGACCATTTCCACCCTCCTTTTATGAGTTGTTCCTCCCCATTTACATAAACTCACTCACCCCTAAGGTTCCTGTCTAATCTTTCAAGTTGCTGTTGTCAATTTGATCCCATATAGATAGATTATAAAAGAGCATAATGCTCAAGGCTGACCTTCTTTTCTAGTTAAGCTAAACTGTTGTTTGGTTTTAAGAAAACTTCAGGGGATATTTTTGGTTTAAGGTTTAAAGATTATCTGAGGGCAGTAGTTTCAGGGATTAATTCAGCCTCCATGGCTCCAGAAAATCTGGATTCCACGAGAATTTTCAAATTCTGTTCTGCATTTTTCCCTCACTGTTTTTCTTTTTTTCTTCCAGAAACCCTGGTGGTGTAGTGGTTAAGTGCGATGGCTGCTAACCAAAAGGTCGGCAGTTCGAACCCACCAGGCGCTCCTTGGAAACTCTATGGGGCAGTTCTACTCTGTCCTACAGGGTTGCTGTGAGTCAGAATCGACTCGACGGCAATAGGTTTGGTTTTTATTGGGTATTTTTCTTACAATGGTTTTTCAAAAATATTTAACTAGCTAATACTTTGGTTGGATTCAGAGCCTAGTAAACTGCCTTTTGCATTTTCTTTTTCAGGAAAAAGGGTCCAGTAATCATAACCTGCTGTCTGCGTCTCGAGCAGCCCTCACTCGGCTTAATCAGCAGGCCCACCAGTTGGCCTTTGATTCCGTTTTCCTGCGTATCAAGCAACAGCTGTTACTCGTTTCCAAGATGGACGTGAGTTTCTCACTGCCTGCAGTGGTTTGCCAGGGTCCCACCTCCTGTGCAAGCAAGTTTGAACACAGGGTTAGCCCCTGCCCCCAGTGTTAGGAGGAGCCCACTCTGACTCTCCTAGGCTAGAAGTGCCACATAAAGGAGTCACTTTTCCCTTTTAACTCATGCTTAGCATGAACTTCCTATCTCGCTTGTAGTTACTCTGATGCTTTATTTACAGACTGTCTCTTGGGATTATTAATACTGCTTCATTAGCTTTTTGCCATTTGGAGCAGCATAGCTATGCCTTCTCAGGGAGAGGTAAGGGTGATTATGTGCTGCAGGATAGGTTAGGCCAAGTCTGAGGAGCTAATTGTCTATTGAAATTGAATTGTTTTCATGCCACAAACATTTCTGGAGAATTGGTTCGGAACTTTACCCAGGAGTATGCCTTAACGAGTTGATCTTTTGTTAATGAGGAGATTTTGAAGAGTTCTGCTACTTTCTTTCCTGGACACCTTTTCTATTTGGATGTTCCTAGAGTAATCTCACCGTCTTTGCCCTGCACCTGCTTCCCTTCTCTTTCCTGGTTGTCCTGATTACCTTTCAGTCATATTTTCTCTATTCAGTCTGTCTTCCTCTCATCCAGATCTCATCACTTTCCTGTTGGATCACTGGGACAGACCCTTTCTCACTAGCTTCTGTCTCTTCCCCTCAAGTCCATCTTGATTTACCTTCTTTTGGAGACAGTCTTTGGGAAAGATCCAGTTACGGGTCTTTAATAACCAAGATCTTTGCAGGAGCCAGGTACAGGGAGGTAGCAAGCACTGATAGAACATCATTTTTGCTTTTTGCTGCCCTCTGGAAAGCATTCTAGGCCAGGAGTCAAGGGCCACTCACTCATTCCCTATATGGCCTTGGTCAGGTCTCATCCCTTCTCTGAGTCTCAGAATCTCCATAAAATGATGTGGCTGAACCACATGCTTCGTGAGGTTCTTTCTACCCCTGAAATTCTGTGATTCTCAGTCTTCATGGTCCTTCTGTTCAAAATCCCATGAGATCTGCTCCAACCAGGTTTTTCGTTTCTAGCCTCGAGGGAGGTAAAACTGGAAGAGCCACTACAGCCACGCAGCGTAGCAGAAGCGGTGTCGGTGGCCAACAGCTCTGCTGTGACCCATGGACATTGCACTGGCACCTCTGTTTGTTGTCTCATTGGATCCCATGACTGAGCTTATTGATTCTTCTGTGAGCCTCCATCTCCACATCTTTAAAATGGGGACACAGTCGTTCTCACCATATAGATTTGTGAGGATTAAATGAGCTACTGCATGTGAAACATACCGAGCACAGTACCTGCCCGAGTGCTTCATAAATAGCAATTTTCTTCCGTCCTGTGATTCTCGTTTATTAAGAGGAATGTCCCCTTATTTTTTTAAATAAAAATTACATATATTCATTTTCAGAAATTCAAGCAATGAAAGAAGCAATAAATCCCTCCAGAATCTCACCATCTAGAAATAATCAGTGTAAACATTTGGTGTCCATTAATTACTCAGGGTGCCTCTTCATGGCCACTGACACACATGCTGAAGGTTGGATGAGCATAGAAGAGAGGAAGATAGATAGATTTTTTTAAAAATAAAATGTATACTGTATAATTTTATTTCAATTTAACTAGAAAAAAGAGAAACTAAAATGAAGCCAAAGGAATTGTTGAACTTGAGATAATTGTTGCTTCACCACATAAAATAGTTCCCAAAAGATGCGTCCAAGGTTAAGAAAAGTGATTATGAAAGCTTTTAAGAGAGTGGAGTCATGGCTCTGTGGTAACCAGATGTTTCCATCTTAGAGATACTGGTATTGATTGACCTGCTCTGAAGGATGTGCGATCAGCATTCCTTATGTCTCTCGTCTTCCCCCCACCCCGCCTCCAGATTCAGTTGTTTTTATGTTTTTATTTTATTAAAGCTTAAAGTATTGACCTTCTTTTCTGAGACCTTAATTCTCCCAGTTGTTTAGTCTCAGTTCTACATTTAAACAGGCTTAGTACTCACCACCTGCCCTTTTGCCTCCACTTCTGCATTCCGAAGTTCATTATTGTGATCCAGGTCTGGGTTGCTTGATGTCGCCCTCTCATTCCAGCCTCACCACAACACACTGAGGCTGCTGGGAATGGACATGGGCAGCTCTGGAGATTAGGAGTTCTCCGAGAGTGCCAGCACAAAACCTCGCAATACAAAGGCAAACGCTTTGGCCATGAGGATTTGGAAATTAAACCTTGGTCATTAAATGTTTGTTTTTACGTTTGCTGGTAAACTGTATTGCTCTTTTATATGATGAGAATATAAACCAACACTATATTCAATTTCAGAACAGATTATTGAGGTTTACCTGGATTAACCTGGTGACAGATGAAGAGAAAAGCCCATTTGAAGGAAATTTTAAATAAATTTAGAATGATTAAAAAGTAATTTACAGCATGTCCCTACTGCCCTCTTCAAGTCTACCCTCTCGGCCTGCTTTTTAAGCCTCTCCCTAATTCCGTTTGCTCTGTCTCGCCCCATTCCAAACTTCTTTTTTATTCTGGCTATTCGTCTTTCCCTCTCCCCTCTGCCTGATCATTTTCTGACATTGTTCCTTCTGCCTCCTCTCTGAAGCCTTTCCCAGGGCCTCCAGCCCCCAGTGCTCGTGCCTTGGATGGATTCTGGTGACACCTGTCTCTGCCCCACAGGTCAATTCCTTGCTCGTCTCCTGCCCCATGGTATTGGGCACGGTCTCATGGAGCTGCTGTGCCTTGCACCACTCTGTTCCCTGATAGTGACCATCTCTGCTCCCTCACTGCTCCCCTCTCTGCCAGTTAAACCCAGAAACCAAACCGGTTGCCATCGAGTCGATTCCAACTCAGGACGATGCTGTGTGTTACAGAGTAGAACTGCATTCCACAAGGTTTTCTTGGCTGTAATCTTTACGGAAGCAGATTGCCAGGTCTTCCTTTTGTGGTGCCACTGGGTGGGTTTGAACCATCAACCTCTGTTGGTGGCCAGGTGCAAACTGTTTGCGCCACCTGGGGACAATTCTTTGCCACTTAGCCACCAGGTTTTGTTGTTCCTGCCTTTTAAATGTCTCCCATCTATTTCCATGGCCACTGTCCTACTTTGGGTTCTTATCATCTCTAAACTATTTCTTGAGCTTTTTATCTGCCCCCTTAGTCCTCCTCAGAATTGTTGTGTTGATCTTTGTTCATAGAGCATTGCTCTGATTTTGTCTTTCCGCATTCAGAATCCTTACCTGGCTTCCCAGAGCCATGATAGTATCTGTTTTTGAAAATGGTTTGTTACGGAATTTTTCACACACATACAAGAGTAGAGAGAAGAGTATCATAAGCCCCATGTACTCATCGCCCTGCTTCAGCAACTGTCACCTCCTGGCCATCTTGTTTCATATCTATCACCTTATCTAAATGCAAGAACTCTAAAATAAAATCAATGCCACAATCATCCCTAAGAAAGGACATTAAAGCAAATTCCTTAATGTCATCACTCAGTATTCAAATTATCAACGTTATAATTTATTTTAACTGTTTGCATCAAGAGCTACATAACGTTCTGCATATTGTGAGTGGTTGGTGTGTCTTTTATATCTCTTTTGAACCATAGGTTTCCCTCCCAGCTCTCTTTCTGTTTTCTTCCCCCTGCAATTCATTTGTTGACAACAAAGCTGTTCCTTAGCGTGGTGTTCAAAGCTTTGCACTACCTCTTCCCAGCCTTCTCTGTCTGCCTCTCTGCACCTTGTATGTCCTGTGGCTGTCCCCTTCTCTAATCACTCTAAGCTCTTGCTCCTTTGAACTCTTATTGTATAAACCTTGCATGTGAAACCAGAAACTCTTGAAATGGAAGCCTGCATGTGTGTATGTGTGCGTGGCAGAGGAGAAAGGAATAAGGAGGGAGGCGTGGGGATGTATAGGGTAGGGGTGTGAGGGACATCTTAGTTCCCCAGCTGAGGCTCCTGGAACATGAAGACTAGGCCTTTCCTGTCCTGTGTCCTAGCACAAGGCACCGTATATAGATGGTTGGAGCATGAATTCTCAGTGGATTTAACTGGGAAAAAATTAGGATAGTTTGAAGCAAGAGAGAATTCTCAGGCAGGAACAAAGAGTCCAGAAAATAGTAGGGGTAGGGAAAAAAAGAACTTGTGAGAGCAAAGAAAATCAGACATAATTGAGTTGGTGCTGGAGGGCATGGGGAGGACTGCTGAGGTTCAGCCTGGGCTGGGAGCCTGGGGGTAGACGTAGCCATTACATTCCCAGAACGCTGCTTAAAGGATCAAGCAACCAGATGGGGTCTCAGGTGGCTACAGGGAGCAGCTACATGACCTCAGAGGCACAGCAGGAGTCTAGCCAGAAAGGGCCCTGTTTCTGGGCTGGCTTTGGGGTGACTCAGGTTGGAATTAAGAAACTAGATTTCTCGGTGAAGGTGTGCCAGAGGGAAATCTGTAGCCACATGCGTACCAGTAATTTGCCTGACTTCATACAGAAAGCCAGAAGGTTCACACTGTGATCCTGTAGGTGTTTCCACTTTCGATGACAGCTGAGGCACATGCTAGTGGGGGGTCCCAGAGAGGACACAGGGGAGGCTGTGGGCTTTGGAGCTCCTTCTCACTCCTTACCTTTTAGAGTTCTAAATCAGTTGAGAAATAGACCCAGAAGACAGACAGAAGTACAAGCAGCAGCTTTAATTTGGGCAAAGTAGTATGGACAAATGTGGTTTGGATATTCCTGTAGCCAGAAGGGGCTTCCTAAGCCTCCCTCCCAAGATACAGGACTTACATGTGGTCTCTGTGAAGGACTGTAGGGTTCCTGTTCTCCTCAGGGTGCTGAAGACCCACAAGTCAATGAGGCTACCTGCACCCATGACTTTTATTATCTTGACCCCTCCCCATACCCCAGTAGAGAACTCAGGCCATAGGCTATCTGACTTGTCATTTCACATTCTAAGTGAGAGCAGAGGGATCCATTCCTGCTTTATGGAGAGAGAGGAAGGGTGACTGTCTCTAGTGAGCCTCAAGTTTATGATTTAAAAAAGGGAGAAATCCCTGGTCTGCTGAGTGGGTTGGTTCCAAAGGCCGGTTCTGAATGAAGAAGATACCTCGTGGGGAAGGCTGTGCTCTTCCTGTATTTTCCTTGGCAGCCCCTGGCACAGTGCTTGGTGCTTTCCTTGCTGCCTGCTTGCTGTGCTATTGATGACTTCCTCTCCTTCCTTTCTTAGAGCTGGAATACGGCCGGCATTGGAGAAACTCTGACTGATGACCTGCCCACCTTCAGCCTCACTCCTCTTGAGTACATCAGCAATGTAAGAGAGCTTCTCTGTGCGTTTCTTTGTGGTGGTGATAGCATTTCAGACCTCACCCGGTCTTTTAATTCCGGCTTTTCTAGGTAAACTAGTCACCACCCCATCCGTGCTGTGGCTGGACCTTTGCTTTTGGATAATCTACAGTCATTTCCTGGGTGGGCTTTCAAGAAATGTAACAGAGCCACATGGCGATTTCAGAACCTAACACATTGCCACCCACCCCTTCATCTCTCCCAGTATGAGATTCGGCCACTACCTATGGGCATAAGAGCCAGGGTCCCATAGGAAATTCTGGCTTGGCAAGACAGGAAGCAGGTGGCCAGATTCTTCTCAATGACCTTTCATAAGAACAATGTGTATGTGGTTCTGAATTCAAATTCAGCCAACTTTTAGTGAGCACCTACTCTGTGCCAGGCCCTGTGCTGAGTGCTTTCATGCCGAGTGCTTTCATGTATATTCCTTGTTGTGATTGAGTTCATTCCAACTCCTGGTGACCCCATGTGTGCAGAGAAGAACTGCTTCATAACAAACATATTAACAAGAATTGTAGTTATAGAGCCTTAGTATGAAAAGAACAGGGAGAACCTTGCAGGGCAGCAGAGCACTTGGAGTCCTTTCCCTCTTCCCCATGCACTCCTAGGGGTTTGATAGTCCCCTTACAAAGGCAAGTGATTTGACTGCCCACACATCGCACATGGCCTTTCCTTTCATTCCTTCTTTGAGTCTAGCTCAGTTGTTCTGAAATGTCAGAGTGCATGAGAAATACAGTACAGGAGTAATATACCCCAAACCATGTGTACCCGCTACTATTGAAGGTACCTGGGATTTTCAAGGGTGATTGTGAGATAGGCGATTTCTGCCCTATGTTCTCACCTTAGAACCCAACCCCTGTGTAATATGTAACTCTACTGTAGTAGATATAAAGGCATTTAACAAGTAAGCAATGTACAATAAGAAGCAGCACGTGGCCATCCCACTGGCAAGCAGAGAGGAGGATGGCTCTCCACTCTCTGTCCTTTTACAGCAGCAGCACATCCATCACGGCAGTCAGTTCCCTGCTGCTTTCCGGGGCGTTACCCAATATCCTGTTCTAATGAAGTTGTCAAGATGTGGGTCAGCCTTCTGCAATCAATGGGAATAATCTTATTTTCAGACTTGAGACAATTTGCAGTACAGTCTGAATTTGGTACTACTGGACGGGACTTGAGAGGCTGTTGAGTTGATTTGAAAGTTGAAGAAACTGAAGTGTAGAGAAGTCAGGAAAGCCAGGATGAGTTCTCAGGCCTAGGCCCTTTCCTACTTCCTGTGACACTCACAAGTTGTAGACATCATTGTACCTGAGGGCTGATGACCTAAATTCAGGAAAGGAACATTTATTGAACACTCACCATGTGCAAGGACAATGCCAGGCTTACACTGGTGCCTACAGACAGTGCACAGTCTGTATCATATTTTATCTCAACAGTTCCGTGAGCCGGGTGGTGGGATCACAGCAAGCACCAAAGTGCAGGATGATGGGAGGGGGCACAGAAGAAACAGTTTCCTAGTAGCTGCTCTGTTAGTCAGGATGCATGTCACACAATATGTATCACTCAGTATCTTATCTTGTCCTTGCCACAGCCCTTTGAAGTAAGTATGCGGTCATCCTCATCTTAGAGATGATGAAACCACAGCCCAGACAGAGGAAGTAAGTTGCCCAGGGTCACACAGTGACAGAGCCAGGACTCACCAAGCTTACCCAAAAAGGGTATCAAGAAGCATTTACTGAATATGTGAGAACAGTAGGTAAATATCACAGGTGTGATGATGACTGGCATCCCTTTCCATATTGATTTCCAAAAAATAAATACTGACCAGACTCCTGAGAGAAACCTGGAGCCCTGGAATCTGTATAGGAGCCACAGCAACCCCACAATCTAAGACCAGTTAATTGAAGTTTGAGAAAATGAGATTACTGAAATTTTTCACCTAAATGACAGTTTGGTTTGTTGATGAATACCCTTATCCACACAGAACTGTAAAAATTATAAAGGAATGAAATATGAGAGAATGCTTTGAAAAACATTTATGCAAGGTATAATAATAATGCTAATGCTTTATTTCAAGTAAAACTGGGTCCATGGACTTAGCCAAAAAGCTATGGCTACAGATGAAAAGTGTACCAAATGCAGGAATATACACAAGGTTTGCACATAGTAGATGTTCAGGAAGTGATTGTTGAATGGAATTGGAATGGAAGAATTCCAGCCCTAGAAATTAGCATCCTTCTCCTAACCTGGAGAAAAATGATTAATTTGCTGTTCTCTTCAATCTGAAATGTACAGTGGTTGTTATTAGTGAGGTAAATGGTAATCTACTTTTGAAAAATCAGCCATTGAAAAACCCTACGGATGGCCTCCATTCACCTGGAATAACAGAGGAAGAAGGAGAATCAGGAACAGGGGGAATAAATGGAATGTGTGGCTGATTGTCTCCGTGAACAACTACCTCCTTTTTTCATGAGACCAGAAGAACTGGATGGTGCCTGGCTACCATTACTGAGCATTTTGATCAAAGATTCTACAGAAGAATCCTGATCAAAAAGGGGAAAATGCAGAACAGAATTGAAAATTCTCATGAAATCTAGTCTTTCTGGAGCCATGGAGACTGGATGGACCCCCAAAACTATTACCTGAGATAATCTTTAAAGATTAAACCAAAAATTTCCCTGAAGTCTTCTTAAAACCAAAGAATAGTTTAGCTTAAATAGTAAAGAATGTCTTCTTTGAGCATTGTGCTTGTTTAAGGGCTCTCTATATTAGATCAAATTGACAACAGCAACTCGAAAGATTAGATAGGAACCTTAAGAGGCAGTGAGTTTCTGTCAATGGGTGAAGAACAACTCAGAGAAGGAGGGTGAGAATGGTTGCACAACTCAAAGAATGTAATCAGTGTACGTATAGAAACTGTTGAATTGGTGTATGTTCTGCAGTATATACTCTCAACAACAACAAAATAAATTATAAAAAACCAAAACCCAATGGAGCAACAGTTCTGCTCATCATAAGTTGGAATCAGCTCAACGGCAACTGGTTTAAATGGCTACCCACCTAGTATGGGTGAAAGGTTGTACTAAATAAATGAAAGGAAACAAAGAATGCTGATTTAATTTCTTTTACTATCTGTGTACCTCTTAGAGTACAAACTAATAATTTTTTGTTAGCATGATGGACCGTAGAATGTTTAGACTTACTACCTCCAAACCATATTAAATGTTTGGAAAAGAGGGTGTAATCCTCCTGTGGTCATCTGGGATGGGTAGATTTTGGGGTTTGTGTTAACTTCTGGACACTACGCTTTTTAAGAGAAACTTGACAGAATGGAGCTGGTGCAGAGGAAAGCAAGCAGGACAACCAAGGGCTGGGAAGCCTAATACATAAGAAAACAAAAGGGCATTTGCCTCGTTAATAATAATTATAGTTAACACTCAGTAATAATAATTATAGCTAACACATAACCTTTCTATATGCCTGGCACAGTTGTAAGAATTGTATAAAAACATAAACTTCCTAACAGCTCTATAAGTCAGATGAGGAAACTAAGGCACAGAGAGTTTGAAGCAGTCTTCTCTTGAATGTTCTGAAGTATAATAGGTGTGTCCTCAAGCTTATAGATAGGTGCAAATGGATGGACCATGTTAGGAACAGAAGAACGTGATGTTAGAAGTCCCAGTCTTCCCAAAGCCAGGGGAAATTTGGATGCACTTAACACACTGTTTTCCACATGATTGATCACATTGATCTCAAGGGTGAGGTCAGTGTTAGACGTCAATGAAAACTGATGTTTCTTCATTGGGTTCTCGCTAGAAATCTGGATTGGGCCCCCAACATTGCTGGGGCGTGCTTAGCACATTCATCGTTCATTTTTTCTAGTTCCATTCATTCACTCCAGAGACTTTGGGCATGGCCCGAAGTTACCGTGCTCACAAGGCAGTGGCTTTGTGAGGGAATGTTAGAGCACGGGTAGTTGCCTTGGAGAGTGTTCTGGCTACCCAGACCAGGGAGCTGACCACCAGAGAGCCATGAGTCCAGCCTGATATTCCACACAGAATCACAGAGAAGGATGGATGTTTCCCCTCTTGAAAACATAGCTTATGTAATTTTGGCTCAGGTTCTTTCTAGTAAGAGGAATGCACTTTTCAGTAAAAACTGAATCCTGTCCATGAACATGTATATGAACCTGTCTTTGGGAAAGTGTCGCCATCCTCAGCTCCTGCAAAGGGGAGAAAAAGACAAAAATCATGGACTCTAGCTGGGCTCACGGAGTGGTGACTGCTGTTGTTGGCAGCGGTGGCTGTGGAACTGTTTCAGGCATCTGATCATGCTTTCGCCTCAGTAGGCAAAAGTTTTCTTTCTTTTTATAGACCCCTGTATCTTGGTCTACCACCACCCATCTGTCAGTTCGTCATACTGTAGTGGCTTACATGTTGCTTTGATGCTGGAAGCTATCCCAGTGGTATTTCAAATACCAGCAGGGTCACCCATGGAGACAGGTGTCAGAGGAGCTTCCAGACTAAGACAGATTAGGAAGAAAGCTTAGTGATTGTGATGGTTAAGCTTGTGTGTCATCTTGGCTGGGCCATGATTCTCAGTGTTTATATGTGATCACCCACATGATGGGATCTGCTGTGAGTAGCCAATCAGTTGAAAGTGAGTTTTCTTGGCGTGTGGCCTGCATCTGAATATAAGTGAACGTTCCGGCTCTTGCCTGCTCTGGATCCTACAGCTGGCTTCTGTTCATCTGACCTCCAGTTCTTGGGACTTGAGCTAGCAGCTTACCTGCCAGTCTTGGGATTGATCGATTTTCACAGCCTGTGGGCAAGAGCCCTGCTCTCCAACTTGCCCGTCTTGGGTTCAACAGCCCCTGCAGTTACATGAATCAGAAGAAACCTTGCGGTCTTGCCTGCTGGTCTTGGGATTCGTTGATCTTCACAGTCTGTGAGCAAGAGCCCTGCTCTCTGACCTGCCGGTCTTGGGTTCGCCAGCTCCTGTGACTGCGTGAAATTGGAGAGGCCTCTATCCTGATCCACGGACTTGGGACATTCGAGCTTCTACTGCCGTGTGAGCCATTTCCTTGATATAACTCTCTCTCTGTATGTATTTATATGCTTTACTGGTTTTGCTTCTCTAGAGAATCCAGCCTAAGAGAGTTATCTGCTTCCAAGAATTAGCCAATGAAAACCCTATGAGTCACAAGAGAATATTGTCCGATATAGTGCTGGAACATTGGCCCCCTAGGTTGGAAGACACTCAAAATACACAGTGGCCACAACAATGGACTCGAGCATAGCCATTTTGAAGATGGCACAGGACTGGGTAATGTTTCATTCTGTTCTACGTGGAATTGCCATGAGTCAGAGCCAACTTCACGGCAACTAACAACGATATTTGGGTCTAACGTCTGCCACTATTTAGGGGTGCATGAGGCCAGGTTGAGAAGATCTTACTTTGAAAGTTCTCTGTCTTTGAATTAGTATCAGCCCTAATTTGAGGAGTGTATTGGAATGAATATGTAGCAAAAAAAGTAACAACAGACTCAAAGACTACTTTTTCATGTTGTAACCTGAAAATCAAGCCTTATTTTAAAATAAAACACATACTTACCTTAAAACACAAAACGGTTATGAAATGTAATAGAAATAGGTGTATAAAATACACCCATGATGAAAATCACAGGTAAGTGACAAATGCATGGTGAACACTACTAATTGGAAGGTTTATGTCAAATGTCTTGTAATGCCACTTTCTTTGGTTGCTCACCAGCCAAGAAGGTTTTGTTGATCTTTATTCTCTAGAATTTGTATTATGAACAATATAGTTTTCCTCCCAAATTAATTTATAATTATAAATGACTTTTTATCAAACAAAATTCCTTCCTTCCCCTGGTTAAATCACCTAGAAGAGAGAGACCAAAACCAAACCCACTGCCATCAAGTCTATCCCCACTCATAGTGACTCTCTAGAACAGGGTAGAACTGTCCCATAGGCTTTTCTAGGGTGTAATCTTTAAGGAAGCAGATTGCCACATCTTTCTTCCATGGAGTGGCTGGTGGGTTCGAACACTGACCTTTCAGTTAGCAGCCGTGCGCTTAACACCTGTGCCACCAGGGCTCCTTAGAAGAACGAGAACCAGATCCAAATTCGGAAGACAGGATTTGCGTTCTATGTTGGCCATCCAGTTGTTGCCATTGGTATCTCACTGATTTTAATAACTTACACAGTGCTTCATATTTTGCAAAGCACTTTGGAATTCATTACGTCAGTTGAGGTAGAGATTGTGTTGAATGCATTCCAGAAGTACTGGGGCAATTGATGAGAAGGCTGAAGCTATAATTTACATGCAAACTACCATTGTTTTTTTTTTTTTTTTTTTTTAAGATGTTGCCATGAACACTATTTCCACACACTGGAAAGATGGGAAGATCAGATTTGGGGTTGCCCCAGGTCTAGCAATTTTGTCTTTTGGCCATTTGCCTTCACATGATGCATGAAGTAACTATCTGCATGCGTCAATGTCAGGCTGAAAGTACTTTCTTTTGTTTCAGATCGGGCAGTACATCATGTCCCTTCCCCTGAATCTTGAGCCATTCGTGACTCAGGAGGACTCTGCCTTAGAGTTGGCATTGCATGCTGGAAAGCTACCGTTTCCTCCTGAGCAAGGTAAAGTGTGATTGTATAAGGATGTCTTTAACACCCTCACCCCTCAACACATACATCTTTCCAAACTCCCATTGAAATCATTGTCAAAACATAAAATAGGGACTAAGGAAGATTGAGGCCCACCTGCTACACCCTTGGGAACTTCTGCAGGACACAGTTCTGACAAGGCTGTAAGTGAAAATAAGAATATACCATTTTACAACCTACCAAATTGACTGTGTGTATGTGTGTGTAAGTGTGTGAATATTTTAACGTGATTACACTTAATGTTGGCATCCATGGAGGAAAACAGTTTAAATTATACCGTTTGAATTTCTGGAGGACAGTTTGACATAATATCAAAAGACTTAAAGCCGTGCAAACCTTTTAGAACAGGAGTTCTACTGCTAGAAAATTATCCTAATAATCATGAATGTAACTGTATGAGTGTTTATCCCAGCATTGTTTATAAAAGCAAAACACTGGGAAGAAAAATAAGCATGAAACAGTAGAGATGGGTTAAACAATCCCGGTGCATCCACACAGTGAAATGCCATGTAGCTAATAAAAAAGATAGTAGACCCTGAGAGTGTGGCCCCCGGACACCCTTTTAACTCAGTGCTGAAGCCACTCCTGAGGTTCACCCTTCAACCAAAGATTAGACAGGCCCATAAAACAAAACGAGACTAAATGGGCATATGAGCCCGGGGCAAGGATAAGAAGGCAGGAGGGGACAGGAAAGCTGACACTGGCGAACCCAAGGTCGCGAGGCAGAGAGTGTTGACGTGTCATGGGGTTGTTAACCAATGTCGTAAAACAGTACATGTATTAATTGTTTATTGAGAAACTAATTCGCTCTATAAACCTTCATCTAAAGCACAATTTAAAAAATATATATTAGAAAAGAATATTTAATGACTTGGAAAGCTATCCTCAGCACATTAAGTGCGAAAAGCAGGTTATAAAATAATATATACGGTGTGATTCTGTTTAAAAAACTGCTGTGTATATCAATATAAAAGGAAAAGACTAAAGAATTGCCATCTAGCACTGTAAATTGCTATATCCACTTTGGAAGAACAGTGTGGCATTTTCTAGTGAAGATGATAATGTGCATACCGTTTGGCCCAGCAGTTTAACTCCTAGATATATGTCCTAGAAACTCTTCCATATGTGCCCCCGTGTAAATCTATAAGGATGGCCATGGTGACTTGGTTGGTAAGAGCCTCAATCTGGAAGCACCCCCAATGTCCATCAACAGTAAAATGGATACATACATTATGATATAGTTGTGCCGTGAAATCGTATGTGGTATTGACAGTGAGTGAACTACAGCTACACATAATAACATCGATGCCTTTCACATTATTGAGCAAAGAAACAAGACAGATACAACCAAAGCTAGATCCACATACGCACATACTTTTTCACAAATGGGATCATCTCATCTTATATATACTGGGTTTATCATGGAAAAAAAATTTCAAACAATTTTTGTGCTCCCTGCTTAGAGAGCCTTTTTCCCATGTGCATCTGGCAAACAGCCCGATTGTCCCTGTCCTTCTCAGCAGCCTGAAGCGCGAAGGTATTTGCTCCTGAATCTGTGCTCCCATTTGTCTTCGGACATACCTTGGCTGTAGCACTGGCTTCACTTTCTCCCCTGGATGGAGAGTGAGCTAAGGACAGCACCCACCTGGCACCAGCACCCAGGGCAGTGCCAGACCCTGCAGGCGTTTGGGCAATTGGTCTGGTGCCCATGCCTCTTCTGTGTCAAGGGCGGGTGCCTCTTCTGCCTCTTTACCCTCAATCTGGGTGTCTCCTCAGTCTCTTGTTTATTTTCATTTCTCCTTTTCATCCATGTTTACGTCATCCGCTTTCAACTCTCAGCTCTGGGTGTTTGTGCTCTGGTCCATTATGTTCAGCCTTTCTGGGTATCTTGCCATCAAGTCACAGTCAGCAGGAATGAGGCTTATCCCTTAAACCAGCCTCCCTGCCCACCTGCGTTTCTGGCCATGTCACAGCCAGGCCGGCAGTGTCAAGGTGGAACTAGATTACCCTTGTCATCCTTATGGTCGCTTGTCACCAAGCCTGGCTTGTTTTTTACCCTTCTAGTTTGTATTAGTTGCATAGATGTTCTGTAAAACAATTAAGATCATAATTTAAGAAGAAAAAAATCACTGTGTCCCCACCACTTAACATGTTGGTGTTTCCATCCTCCCGTGTGTCCTTCTGGCTCCACTCTTTGTACAGTGTGTTACATGTAACTTTATATTCTGTACCATCATCATCCTTGTCGGTAGTAGTATTTTTATGCAAATGACACATTATATGGGTATATTTTTTGCCAACCTTGCCATCTCCCCA